GGGACAACTCATCTCAGCTGACCACAGTGGGGAGTGTTGACTGCCTATAAACTCTGTGTGTTTCACATCAGTGATGCTTTCAACATGAACAAAAAGCAAGAGCATCTGTGGTGATGGTTCTTAAAACTGACAAATCCACAAAAAAATTATAAAGTAATTGAGCTCGGAAGAAATCAGCATTTTCTCTTTTCTTCTGGATATTTTTCCTCTTGTACCATGTGATTTGTATGTGGAAAAAACTTCGACATCTGTTAAAAATAGCAAAATTCCAGGTAAAATGCTTGGTTAAAAAAAACTTTACAACTGAAGACATCTTTGCCTTCTGCTAGAAGGCAATAAATTGAGTGAGAATCACTACGAGCGTGTGAAGCAGGACCCATTCTGTTGTTAGCTAAAACTGAAATCCTACTGGACTGCTGGCACTGAAAACTTTCCTACTCCAAAAGTAAAAAGGAATAAAAATGTGAATTCTACACCAGTCTTCCAGAAATCTGACAGCCATCTCCAGCCCTTTGACCTTAAATGGTGTCCATCCCCCTGTCTGTGAAATAAAGGCCAGAACAGCAGGCTGGGGGAGGAGAAGAAATGGTGTAATGATAACAGTGGATTTGATCGATGAAACATTTAGATTTGAAAAACAAATACTGTTAGGAACAAATTGCTTACATTCAAGAGTAAAAACTCTTCAGCCACTTTTTGATCAACTCACCCCAGCTTCAGACTTGAAGTTCAATCTGATACTAAATGGTTACTTGCTGGAAGCCACACATCAGCAGGAAGTGCTAAATGCCAAAGGGCCTTGAGAAACTAAACACGCGGTAGCAAAATGCTGAACAGATGACAGACTGAGCTACTGATCTGATGCTGCAAAAACATGCATTCAGTCATATGCTGCAAATGTTTGTAAATCTACTTAGACAACAAACATTATTACCACATTCATAAAACACTTTTTGCCATCTTAAGTCAGAATGTTTGTAAAGATGCTGTACCAGAAACTGCATTACGTGTGTGATACGTAGTATACATACATGCTTTGCATTTTTAAATATTTGCCTTCCTTAATCTTAACTCTTTGACTGGGCTCATCTCAAGAATTTACTCCAATTATTCTGCAGGAGCTGGTGTGGAACAATGTCTTTTATGCCTGTACAGAACAACAGATTCTTCCTTGTATAATGCTGTAAAGAACTGTGTTAGAAATGGCAGGCCATGTTCTGGGGAACAATGCCTCCCTGCACGTCCATCAAATCTTGTAAACAACAACAGTTTTCAGGGAGACTCAAACTTTTTCAATTTAAACAAAATATTTTGTTATTCCTGCATTTTTCCCTCAGCCCACTTGAGAAACTGTAAGTTACTTGGCTAAGAAAGTACCTTACCTAAAGAAGGAGATGCACCAATTGTGTAACACTGAAAACATAAGCACCTTCCTATCTACTCTTCATTTATCTTTTTCCCAAGTTTTATGCCCCCAGGAAGCCAAGTCAACATATACAATGATAATTATCCTTCCTCCTCACCCAGCACCAGCTGCTCTGATGCTCTGGTCACCACATGAACTCTTCCTCAATTCTCCACAGTGACTTTAAGCCACCTTTTCACCCACTCTACTCTGCAGTTAGTAAGAGGTGTAATCCTAGCTGTGACTCATCATCATTTTGAATAAGTTAACCTGCAAAGAACCATTTTGACACAGAAAAAATTCTAGAGTACACCGGGATGTACAAGTTTTGAATTTTGACTGCCATTTCACTCAGCCTTTCACTGTTTGCATCTACGGTATGGTCTGATACAACTGTGAACTGCTGTCTGAATTCTCAGTTGTTTTTTTTTCCATCTGTCATCAGAAAAGCAGGAAAAAAGGATGAAAGGAATGGAAACAAGCATCTGGCCGTCACCTCTAGAACTGAAAGGTGCACTTCATAGCAGTGGGACAGATTATCTGAAAGGTCTGCTTCACACATAGTACCTTAGATGGAATGAGACATTGGGTTTTTTTGACTTCTGGTGCGAGAAGTTCCCTTTTCACAAAAAGGCACCTCGCCACAAACCTCAACAAATTCTGAATCAAGTGCAAGACTCTTTGCTTCAGGCCCTACAGCAAAACCCACAACAAGAGAGCAAAGTGAAAACTGAGTATGTGGACACGCAGATAAAAAGCTGTCAGGGTGACACGTTGGCTGTGCACCATGGCAGCAAGGGCCCAAGCTTTGAGGCTGTCACGAACTAAACCACAAGCAGCCGACACAAGCAGTAGCCTGCCTCCTGCTTCAGCCCTCCGCTGTCTGAGAGCTGCCCTCAGCCCCAAACCACCAAACTTAGCTTCTGAATTATTTCTGGGGAAGCATCTGAACAGAATTTGAACATTTCAAATGCAGTTCAAACCCTGCCTACACCAGGCAGATCAATAAACTCACCTAGATTCACCCACCCTTCACATGGTTTTTAAGTCTAATCACTCCATATGGAAGGCTGCTTAAGGGGACGCCATCCAAGCAGTGCTCTTGGAGCAGCAATGATGTTGCTCTGAACTTTAGAATAACATTTTTCCTCCCCAGTCTCCTAAAGATGCTCTTACAAAGCAGCCCTTTGTCAGGCAGAGTGTTCAAGTGACTCAGCTCTGCCTTTCACAAAGCCTATGAACTTGGATGAAATTACGTCTTTTCAGAGTATGAATCAAAAGCCAAAGTTGTGTCACCCTTCCTCGTGATGAGGATCACCTTTTTCTCCCCAGGGTCTAATAAGAATTAGTGTCTGAAACTAAAGGCTAAGCCTGACACAACAACAGACGATGCGATGCAGCCCAGAGAGGGAAATTAAGTGATCTTCTACCACTGACTGTAAAAGAAAAGGCTTGCTTTAAGAAAAAGGGAAAAACAGAAAAAATGCTATTCTCACAAATTGGATCACAGCTGGTGAAGTGAGATCCTGCACAGAGATACAAGGAAGTTGCTGCTCTCAGCAAAAGCTAGCAGCAGAGGAAGGAGAAGGGGTAAAAGAGCAAAGGGAGCACAAACACTGGGAAAATCTCATCAAACTCATTGTACTAAAGAGATATGTGCAGTACTGAACTGGAAAAGCAAACAGATGGGTTTTTCATGGTATTGTCAAAGATGCTTTTAGAAATGCTGTTCTGTTTTCCTTAGCCAGAAGGGTCTCTACAATTACTGTCTCTTGACAGATGCTGCACTGAGAATGGCGAGTCAGGAGGTAGCAAAATGGCAGCACACTGTGCTAATGGGTAATGGGCTGGTAGGTACCAACCCATTGCTGGTGAAGCACGAGCAGACAAGTTGTCTTTTCAACCAACCAACGTCAGAATCTGGAAAATGAAGGCAAATGAACAGCAGAAACTTCAACTTGTGACTTTCAAGCTGTAACTGAACCACTAGGAATGAGCAGCAAGCAAATTTTTTGCAGGTCATTTAAAGTTCAGGTTGTTCTTTTCTAAGTTCAGCAGCTGGAGCACAGGTAACATCTGATGCGAATGGCCTACTTCAAATTTGGCAGGTGGTACAGGCAAAGAGGTAGGAGCAAAAATATTAATAAGGCTTATACAGTTCCCCTAAGTGCTTCACATTTCTGTCCCCATTATGCTTGCTCTCCAGGTTAGTGGGGGAATGAGAGAGGTTATTTTAATGGCATCTCTGTACCACTGTGTTAAAAATTAAACAGCTTGCAATCTTTAATGCGTGTTTTTCTTTTTAAAGGGGGAATCAACAGTTATGTGCCAGCATGTAAGTATTTTTGTTGTGCACTATGAGCAGTTGGAAAAAAATATGGGAAGCAGCAATTGGGAGGATATAGAATGAAAGAAATGATTTTTTAAAAATAATAAAAACCAGGAAACTTGTCATTTGCTGGCAAGAAGCCCATCCTCAAAATTAAAATAAGAAAAAACCAAGTGAGGCAAAAAGGAGGCCTAAATTATCTATTTGAGAAACTGCAAATAACAACATATCTTTGGAAAAACTGTCATTTTATCTCCACTTGATTTGCTGTTCTCATATAATGCATCCAGTTCACTGCCAGCACTCTTGAAAGTCAAGTTGATAACCAACATACTTTGACACGGTCTCAGCCATGTCTTAACCTGGTCACAGCAGGATCACCACAGTGGTGGACATCTTGTACACAAATATAGTTGTAGGGTATTGTTCATTCACGCTGCACAATACATCTCACATCTAGAAGCAGTCCTTTCTAGTTCGATCACACTACTGGCACTTCCTCCTTCTCCAAGACCTAAATATGCTTGAGTAGACCTTACAAGTAGACACAGAAAAATGTAAAGCAGAAAAAGATGTGTGGAAAATGGCACATAGGCTTCTTTTCATTGGTGCTCCACTGCAGACCCAACCATGCACCATGTTGCCCTGGCTGCTGGCTTGACATGCACCATGCTGCCCTGGTGCTGGGGAACAGGAGGTCTGTGTGCTCTCTGAGGTGCTCTGCCTCACTCAGACACAGTTCCTGGTGCTGCTGGGGCTCACGGGCATCTCTATATGGGTGCACCCAGAACACCTGCATCACCAGAGATCCTGCCACCATAGTCAATGGAGAAGTGCTGGTTTGCAGCCAGGCAAGCCCATGTTTCTAAAACGTGCTCAGCAGCACAAACACCAGAATTTCATGTTCCTTAATATCTAACCTCAGAAAACAGCCTGAGTGAAGAGCAGCCTCATCCAAGCACGTATTTATTTCACTTTGGCCACTTTCAGTCGGCCACACTGCAAACTCAGGTCCTCGCTTCCTCTCCTTTACAGAGCAGCGTTGTTCTGCACACCGCAGGAAGCCTATTTTGGGACTACTCCCAACCCAAAGCATCCCGCGTGAGATGCAGGGTTAACTCCTTCAGGAGGAGCACCGCTTCGCCCCACCTGTTAAGGCAGTTCGGGAACGGGATACCCCTTTCCGAAGCCCCCAGCCCGACTCATCAGGCTCTGCGAGGGCTGAGCCGCCTCTCCCCGCTCCCTCTTCTCCCCGCACCCCGTTACCTGAGCCCCCCACGCCGGAGCGGAGCAGGCAGCTCCTGCGGGAGGAGGAGAAGGAGGAGATGTCGCTCTGGGAGCGGCCGCGAGGGCCGGGCAACGGCCAGGCGGGCAGCGGTGCCTCCGCCATCGGGGAGCCGAGGGAGGGAGAGCCCCGAGAGGGAGGGAAAGTTTGCGGAGGAAGAGCCGCCCCTCCGCTCCGACCGCCCCGACGCGGGGCCGCCCCGCTAGGAGGACGGTGGGGACTTGGGCATCCAGGAAACCCTGTACCCCATCCATCTTTCCCTCCGCACCCTCCGAGAGCTGCAAACCCAAACTCCGTAGTTTCGTTTTGTTTTGCCGGGCGCTTGCAGACTCTAGTTCAGGGCCAGGTTTGCCCCACATCGCACAGGCACTACATTCCCCTGATCAGAAAGTTTTCTACCAAGTCACAGGAGCTAGTCCTAAGTTTCTCACAGAATCCCACAGAGTGCGTTTTGTTATAATTGAACTTTACAGCTCACAGATGCGCTGAGGGCCCTTCCTCTCACTGGAGATGGCAGCAGCTGTGCATGAGCAGGCCGGCTGGTGGCAGTTTCTGAACCACTCTAAGCCTTAATTGGAAGTGTACTCCTGACATCTATTTACTGAACTGCTTCTTTACTGTTCTTTCTTTCTTTCTCTCTTTCTCCCTTTCTCTCTTTCTCCTCTTAATTGAAAGCATGTGAGAAAGGTCATTAAGCAAACTGCACATTTCGTGCTGTGGATCTCACCTACACTGGTGGGCTTTGGGTGAGACCCTGGAGCTTTCCTCTTGTTGTTTTTCCTTCAAAGCACTGAAAGTCACAGAGCAGCTCTAGCTGGGGTATGCTGTAAAGAATGGGAACCTACTACAAAACTCCCCCGTTAAGGGGCTGCTCGTTTCTGCAGTCCCTTGGTGGCAGCAGCCGTCAAAAAGAAAAGTCGCAGAACATGAGGAAATCCAAAGATAAACCAGAGCAGATACAGCAGCAAGAGGTCAAGGTGCTGAGGAGCTCCTGCTGAGATGTGAAGGGACATGGGAAGAAATGAAGGTCATTGTAGATGCAGAGAAAGCAGGTCAGCGCTGGGCAAAAGGCAGAAGCAGGGAAAGACGAAAGAAAGAAATAACGAAGGGCTCCTATTCTTGACATCAAAGTTTATTTGTAAATTAGAGCAACGTGGGCAGTCTACCAGAAAAAAAAAAATAATGATATCAGAATCAGAATGGAAGTCAGAATGTTTTTTATCAGGCTGTAACTTACACCCATCAGGGCACGTAACTAAAAATGTAAAAAGTCTCTCCCCAAAACCTGCCGGGCTGGTCCTTCCCCGGCGCAGGAGCCGAAAGGCACCGGGACGAGGGAGGCGGGGCGGCCTCGGCCCCTCGTACCGCCCGGCCTTCGGACAACAGCTCCCGCCCCCGGCCCCGCCTCGCTCCGGCCCCCGCCTACCGCCATGTCGGGCCTGCTGCAGCCGGCATTGCTGCTGCTGCTGGCGCTATCGGGGCTACTGGGCGGGCGGCACCGCTACGAGCCCACCTGGGCCTCGCTAGACGCCCGTCCGCTGCCCACCTGGTTTGACGAGGCCAAGTTCGGCGTCTTCATCCACTGGGGCGTGTTCGCGGTGCCCAGCTTCGGCAGCGAGTGGTTCTGGTGAGCTGCCGCCTCGCCTGCTGCCCGCCCGGCGCGGAGGGAAGGGGCGGCCCGCTTAGCGGGGCGAGCGGGGCTGGAGGCCGGTGCGGTTTTCTGCGAGCTTTGCGAGAGAGATGGAGGAGCGGCAGGAGGCGGCCGAGGTGCCGCGGTGAAGGGACGGGCGCCGCAGCGCAGTGAGGACAGCTGTGGCAGAGGGCTACGAGCAGCCCAGCGCTTCCCGTGCCTGGCGCTGCTTTGTTTGCCTTCGTGCTGCTCGTGGTGGTTTTCTTCTCTTGTTATCACTTTCATGAAGAAGTGCATTCCGCTTAACTTCAGGCTCAGCGCCTTCAAATCCATTTAGTTCGAGCCTTTGGTCCGCTGGGTGTAGCCGTCTGGTGTGCAGTTTCCTTCTAAGTCATGCTGTGGGGTGTGGAGGTAAAAAGCAGCTCTTCGCCATGGTGAAGCTTAAAAGCAATCTTCATACAGCCAGCTGACGTCAATATCAGCAAACCACTGTTTAGTGAAGGCAATATTTGGCCTATTCTTCTCAGAGTTGCATATAAGGGTATCTGCAGTTCTTGCTGCATACTCCATTTGCTGAGTAATGACTTTCTGGAGAGAGAAAAAGGCTAGGTTCTGTTCAGGCCTCTCTCACAGGAAGGTTCATACACACATTCACGCTAAACATCCTGTTTTTTCTTCTTATTTTTCTAAAAAGTTCTGAAAACAATCTGATGCAGTGGATGACTGTCTCCATCTCTGCCTCCCTCCCTTAGGCTCATCCCGGTGAGGAGCCCTGCAGGACCTCCTGGTGCAGAGCACGCTCAGGTGGCCCAGGTCCCTGCCCATGGCCTCAGGGCAAGGCCACAGACCCTGGTGCCGCCTAGGTGCCTCCTTCCCTGTAGGGCTGTACAGCCTTGGGCAGTAGAGCTCTGAAACTCAGTCCTGTCAGAGCAGAAAGGCTCATGTTGTTAGCAAGCTGTGTGACAAAGGAAGGAAGTTACTCCTTTATTTGTGCAGCTACATCCTTAAAAACCAGTTTGTTCGGTTTTGTTTTCAGGCTCTTTCAAGAAGGAAGATAACCTTGGCCTCTTTCTTTTATTTTTTTACATGTTTTGCCACCGGCTCCCAGAGACTATATCAGCCTACCCTGAAGTCTCTTTGGGAAAGTCACAGTAAGATCCATGCAGCTTCTGTGGTGGTACAGAGCTCAGCTTAGAGGCTGGCTCAAGATGGGAGAGAGAAACGCATCTCAGATATTCCAATTCTGCTGTTCATTGCTTCTACTTTCAAACTCTGTTCATTTATGCCTAAATTTGCCAACAGGATTTTGCTACCTGGCTTTGTTTATGTGAAGGTGAAAGCTTTCAGATCCTTTCTCCCCAGCAGTTATAGAAGGCCTCTAGCAATAAGGCTTGATGTTGCATGCTGTATCTGGAGTTCCTCTTTCATTTCTAGGGAGGGGAGAGGTGGGGTAGGCGGAAGACACATAGTGCTGTATTGGCCATTTATGTTCTCTGCTCATGGTGAGGGTGAGGCCAGAGCAGCTCTGTGGCCTCACTGTGGGCTGGAGTGATTGGAGCAATAGCACTGACTTCACAAATGAAATCCTGGGACCTTTCCAAAGTGGAGCCAGTGGAAGAAGTGCAGCATGGGGAAAGGACAGAGAGAAGGAAGCCTTTAATTATTAATGCTGTTATGTTCTGAAGCAGTTTTATGTGGCTGCCTGTATCACGTGCATCCAGTTCTTGTGCCTCTCAGTGTGAATGCAGATAGGAACTAATGATTTCAGTAATCTTTTAGTTGTCTAAAAACACACCAGCAGGCATGGTTTTGATCTGTATTTTGTAGGTGGTACTGGCAGAAGGAAAAGAGGGAGCCCTATGTGAAATTTATGAAGGCAAATTACCCACCTGGGTTCAGTTATGAAGATTTTGGGCCGCTGTTTACAGCAGAGTTCTTTGATCCTAACCAGTGGGCAGATATTCTGAAGGCTTCAGGTGCAAAATATGTTGTCTTAACTTCAAAACATCATGAAGGTAAGCAGAAGGGTTCTGAATGTTAGAAGCTGTTGTGTTTTTTAACTGAAGGAATGACTTTCCTGCCTGCTAAGAGAAAGGCAGAGATGACATAATTACTTGCCCCAACCCAGTCAGAAAGTTAAAATGTGCTGGCATTTTCCTGACTCTTGCACAAAAGCTATGCTCATGAAACTCGCATAGAAGGAAGAATAGATTGTGCCATGGTTTTTTTCTTCTATGTAAGACAGCCTGCAGTAGTGGGGGCAACTGAACTTCCAGCAGCAGCTGGGTTTATTTCTGATTGTTGTGTAATATATTGCTCAAGGAACCACAAAGTGAATGCTGCGCTGTTTTGTCTATGGAGAGCTGCTCCCCAGCAGGGCTGGGAGGAAACCTAGTAGCAAAGAAAAGTATAGAATATCAGGAAGCAATATGACAATGCCAGTCAGCGTTGCTGGTGTTCAGGGAGATGTTGTCTTGAAACTTGCAACTTTAACGAGTAACTTCTTGTGAAATTTAATCCCATCTCTGACACACTCAAAACTCTGATTCTGTGGCGTAATTTCCACTGACTTAAAAACAAAACAAAACAAACAAAACAAAAAAACAACCAAGATCTTTGTCTAGTTGATACAATTACATGTATCCAGTTCACAATTTATTAGGCAATGAGTGTGAAGCAGTTTGAAGGTGAGAGCGGGGGCCCCTCTGGCCATGGTTTAGATCTGCAGCGTGGTAGTGCCTACAGTGCTTGAGCTGAGTTGCTGGATGTCTGAGAGGTGAGGATGTTTAATGCTGATGTTTTAAAAGCTGCTTCAGGAGTTTTTGCACTCTGCTTATGCACGTGTACTGAGTTGCTGATTGAGCTGTTAATGAATGATAAGACAAATGAACAGTGAACATCTGCATGAGATGTGAACAGAAGGGAGGAGAGTAGTCTGAATGCAAATGATGTCTCCGTTGCAGAATGCACAAGCTAATGTTTCATCTTCCAACTGTTGAATGTATATTCGGAATTCATATTGACTACATTCAGTAAAAATCTAATGTGTCAAAAAGTTTCTGTATCCTTGGTTAATTTCATATGGGCATTTGAATGGAGTGAACAACTGGAGGAGGATCAAATGATTATCAGAACAAGAACACTGAATGCTTATATTTTTCTATCTGAATGTTCATCTCTACAGATGTTTATGTATATGTATAAATGATTACACATTTAATGATTATTTTGATATATTTTTTTTCTTTTGCAATACACTTGCATAGTAGAACCACAATGTTCTGCTGCTTTCCTTTCTTAGCTTTTAATTTTTCTCTTTTCAGGCTTTACTCTGTGGGGGTCCAAATATTCTTGGAACTGGAATGCTGTCGATGTGGGACCAAAGCGAGATCTTGTGGCTGAACTAGAAACATCTGTTAGAAACAGAACTGACTTGCGTTTTGGTTTATATCACTCCCTGTTTGAATGGTTTAATCCTCTCTTCCTCGAGGATGCCACCAATGTCTTCAAGACACGAAAGTTTCCAACCAGTAAATCATTACCAGAACTCTATGAAATTGTGACCAAGTACCAACCAGAAATAGTTTGGTCTGATGGGGATGGAAACGCACCAGATACTT